ATGAATAGCAGGCTATGAAAACCAATGAATATACGTTAAAACAAGTCTTCGAGTTTGTCATATTTTGAAATGCAACGGCATGAATACAATCATAGAACTTATCCCCTACAATTTCTTTGATTCCATTACCGTTGGAAATAGTAGCCAAAGAGGACATTTCTATGAGTTTGCATGACAAAATCGCAATGTCATCTCGATTCTATAGACAGGTAGCTTTACTAGTAACTAAAGCGTCAGAATTGCTGTCCACGGATCACCGGTTCGAATCTAAGTTTAAACTTACCTTCGCCTTTTCGAAAAAGAAAAACGAATAACTCAACGGGAAATGAAAGCAGAAGACGCCACGCCGTGAAGACTTCCAAGCAGCAGCCACTGCTTACAAAAATAGAGCACTTCGGGCTAATGTGATCAAAAAAGTATCGTACCATATGCTGCATAAAGTGCCTAACAACTGTTGGCTATATACGTTCTACCGTTTCAATGGTACAGAAACTCAAACTGCTTTTTTACAGGTATACGTGCAACTTAAGTAGGTTACCGTAATAGCTACAGATGCTAAGTCAGGGAGCCGCGGCAAGTTGAAAGAGCGCTACAGCGCTTGAAGTAATGAGTTAATGAGATAATATCGAATATGTACAGGAAAAAATATGCAAAACAAATAAGGGAACTTTGATACTTTTCAAGCATACCTGCAGGAAAGATTTCAACCTTCACTGGTTCAGTACGTCCTTTGCTTTCTTTTCCTAGTCCTTTTCCAGCAATATATCCCATTCGAGCCATCAGCTTCGAACCGATACCCTTAAACACAGCAATTACGTACATTTTAAACATATGTTGAGCTCATAAGTAACGCCAAATTAGATTTATTAGCTGGCGGAGCGACTAACAACACAGCATAAGCGCATCTTTAGAAACTAGTGCAAAGCACTGCCGGTTAGTCTGTTTCGATGACTACCCACCCATTCAAGGACGGAGGAAAACGTGTCTCGAACGAACCCGATCCTATAAGCGTTTGAGCATCGACGTAAGATAATCCGAACCTAACGCAGCGCTCTTCCAGGCACCTGAATAAGGCTATTTTTAGCCTTCCAATGGACTTTGGCCAGTGAGGCGAGCAAGTAGCAGCTGTTACTCCTCGTTTCTTGAAGATTCGCAACATGTGGCCATACCATTGCAGTCCCGAGTTCACAATCTGCAAAAGCAGCGGCTGCACCAAAAATTTCGGATATCTAAATTCCGAATTACGTTGATACGATTCAGCCCAGCAATGCGTTCACAAAAGCCCACCCATTTGAGCCACTTGTATCCGGAATCGAAGTCGGCAGTCATGGTTCACAATTTATGACGGTAAGTGAGCATGAGGATAAAGATTCACTTGAACACAGAGAGCTTAGTCTTCAGACGCGGATCCGCATTTGTCACAACGGTTCAGGCTAGTTCACACAAAACGCCGTCGAGCATTTCAATTCACCGGTTTATCTCTTCCTCCCCTTTTCCATCAACAGTAAACACGATCCCGAGCTACTTTCTCCACTTGTTCCACTGCTTCTCCGTTTATCTGCAAAGCGCAACAGAAATGAGAAGGAGAAAGGCGTACGACTTTGGTTTTACACTTTCACACGCATGTCAACCACATCGTGCTCGGCTGCAATCGTTTCCAGGCAGCGCTGGAAATCAGTTTCAGAAGATGCGAACAAAATGGATGGTCTCGTCTCTACATCTACTACGCTGATGCACTCATCGCCCTGGCTGATCCTGACCATCTAGTTCACGTACTTCATAAACGGCAGAGGTAACAGAAGCAGCCTTGGTGCAGAAAAGTGCCGATATTGAAAGGTTTGCACATAACGCTATTTACTCTGACGCAACACTGCTATCAACATATAATGATTGAATTGTTCGTACCAGCTGGCCAGCTATCCGATATGCTTGTAGATAATCCTACAGCTCTGTGCACCGCATCCGGTCAGAGGCCACACTGCTCATCTCAAATCTTAAAAGTCAGTTATTCCGCGACATCTCCCATCAAAACTTTTGCTCATATTAATCTCGGAAAACTCAATAAGGTAATGCCCTGATAATTGGAGAAGTACTTATCATGGTTAGTCTGAGAACAAGCGTCCCCTTCCTTGTTGAACAGTGATACTATCACTATACTTTTCAAGTCCGTGGTGTGTTTCTCGCAGTCACTGTAGTTTGACAGTCACGTGTTAGCTACAATATGCTTCTTTCACTTAAGGCAAAACCTCAAGCATCAAACAGCGGATTTCATCGATTCCAATAGTCTTGCCAGTTTTCAAGCCACTTACAGCTTTTGTGACTTCCTTTTATGAAAAACAAACATCCATTGTCTGCTGCTCCTCTGGAGAGTCATCCTGAGGTTGCACGTGGTTATGCAGTCACTCATAGTATGTGTATAAATACTTGATAACTCTGGTTGATTCATAAGCAAGACACTAGTTTATCTGAAATTACGCGCGGCAGAAACGCTTTTGGTGCAAGACCAAGGTTCCAGGTTTTCAGAAAATAAGACACTCTCATAAAGGACTCAATATACTTCAAGAAGAAGCTAAATGATATAACGATTGTTCACGACGAAATCATGGTTAGCTTCGATGCAATTTTACTATTCAACAACCTACCTACTATAAAAGTAGCACAGCGCGTGGAAGAAAAGCTCACTATGGGGTAATTGCTCGAACATGAACATGAATCAGTGAGAGATACTGAGCTGCTTAAAATTTACCAGAAAACATCTGGTACCAGGTTGTTCCCACTCTCTTCAATCGTTGCCAGCACTATCATCGAAAAATTAAAAAAGGGAGCTCTCAACAACTTTCATGCGCCACCAAGAGTATGGTGGAGATTAATCGATTCGGTTCACGAAGGAAATCCAAAAAGGACAGTTCAGTCTTGTTTTTAGACTATAAAGCAAGCAGAGAAAACAATGGATCACTAAAAATCTGTCTATCGCAAGCCCACGAAGAACACTATCTGTAGTTCAGCTCTAATCATCTTATATGCACGAAAGCAGATGCGGTCAGAAGCTTGCTTGAGAGCCATGCTACCAACAACCGACCCAACAGAACTTCTACATGAAATCGACAACGTGAAACAATGGTTCAGGTAGTTAAGTTCTACAGACAAACGGATATCCGCAACAGTTCATTAAAAGAGAAATAAGGAACCGGAACAACATTGCTAGTCAACCGCGAACAAGAACGCTCACTCAGACATCGAGTCTGTATTCACTACGTTCCCGTCATTTCAAAGTCGATTAGACGTGTGCTAGAAACGTTAGATATCAAGACCGTCTTCAAATCAAATGAGAAATTAAGTCATCGCTTGACGAAGACAGAAAAAATAA